GGGAGGTGGGGGGGAAGGAAGTCTGAGGAAGTCTGCTCTCCCTTTTCTGTTTAAATGTAATCATCTCAGTTGTAAAAGCTTTCCATACTTCCCAGCTTACTGCTGTACACTGCAAGCACTGAAACACAGTTTCAATCACAGAAACTATCAAACTTTTCCTTAATGTTTTTTATGCAGAGTTTTGCAAGCTTCTTCTGAAAGGGTTTGCATTGTACTCTTGTACTGACAGGAAAACAGGATATACATATTTTAAGTCTACAAAGGCTGGGGGGAAGGCAGATGTAGTGCCTGCTGATTCAGATCTGCCTTTTCACACCGGGCATACCCTGAATCAAAATTGGGTACTTAAATCATGCCTATAGAGAGGAAAAAAAAAAAAAAAAAAAATCCTCCAAGGGGATCACTACTGCAATTTGTCCTTACTTTAGACTTTAAGTTGTATATTTAAATAATAGCATAAGGATATAAAAGCCTACATTAGCACTGGGATAGCTGGTGTCAGAGATCAAGGTATGTTTACAAAATACTGTGCAGACAGGAATTGTTTATTTTTCTAAATAAACATTTAAATTAATTAGCATTCTGAAAGAGAGAACACTAAATATAGCAGCCCTTAGGCTATGTAACCTTAAGTTTTTTCAGCCTTTGACAGTGCAACCATCTTTAAAAAAATAGAATAACCCAATTAGAAATAAATGTTCCAGTTTTTCACATGTTAAAAACAGTATCAGTGCTTCATATCACAGCTTTTACACTAATAAAAGTGTGGTAATTCTTAATACATTGTAAATAATGTTAAAAAACCAAAACAAAACGAACAAACACAAGTACCTGAGAAGTTGATGGAGCACATGTGCTAGAAGTTACAGGAGATTCTGAACAGCTGGTGCTGGTGGCATTCTCAGATGACTTTAATTTTCTGCAATGACAACCCAACATTTCAGGTTACAAGGCAAAAAATATCTATGTTCTTTCATTATAGGGAGGACAGACATTCATTTCCCAGTTTTTTAAATGGCTGTTTTCTTTCCCCTAGAGACTGAACTTACCTAGAAAGTATTAACTCCAATGACTGTTTATCTATTTCACTGTATCCAGGCCAATCTTTCTGAATTTCTTTAAATAAATAATCCTTCAGAGAGAAAGAATTATCCTTTGGGTTCAGGTTGGCTACCTACAGGCAGACATTTAAGAAAATAAATGTTCATTATACCTAAATGCAAACTACAGAAATAAGATTTCTGGTACTGCAAAGCTTGATCAAAGCTCAAAACAAAAATCACACACCAGTTTTGGTTTTTTTCAGATGTGATAATCAAAGTAGCTCTCAAATAATGAGTGCCAATTTTAAAATTGTGGTCGATTTGGTATGTAGAAATTTGGATGTCAGAAAATGCCAAACTGCTGCAAGCATGTATGAAATGCATTCTAGGAAAAGCCCTCTCTGCAATATGTATCTGTTTTTTAACTTCAATACAGCATTAAGAACCCAGGCAAACTATGCCAAAACTTTAAATATTTACTGCACGAAATACATCAATAGGCCAAATTTATTTTCAAGAACTGAAGTACACTATCTTCACATACAAACTCAGCTTTCTTCAACTTCAGGAGGACACCTGCTGCTCCCTCATTCTACACAGTTAAACTGTGATGGCAGAGGACAGACTACCTGGAACAATGCATGTTTTCCATCATTCCATTAATGACCATAGTATGCTGTCATTTGTCTTGCTAAACAAACTGCATCTCTTTCTCAAGTGCCTGAGCCACAAGAAACTATAGCTTTCTCCTGAACAGTTCTATGCAGTAACTAGCACTAAGCTTCTTCATTTATCCCATCATTTCAAGTCATATCAAAGCTTTCCTGACTGGGAAAAAGTAACTGTACTCATACCTAATAAGTGGTATTTTGATAATGAGATTTAGTGCTAAAATGTTTAAGGAGAGGTGTACAGGCCCAAACACACTTTTCTATTTTGGAAACACAGGGTTCATCACAGCAAAGTACAGTCCTGAAAAGGTCATGTGTATACGTTGCTGCATACCTCTGGGGAAAAAAAAAAAAAGTGGGTTTATATCTTCAAATAAAAAGTAACCCAAGAAGTAAAAATAAGCTAGTAAAACCTTGAGACCATTTACACCTAAAGTGCTGGTTTAGACTTCTACACCCAATACCCATTCAGATTTTTGAAGAAAACCTCAAAGAAAAAGAGTCTCCTATCAATTTGCCTCCTATAAAATGTGGAATAACATATCAACACACCACCACTACCACTTGTCACTGCTTTGCTTACTTTTTCCCTCCAATACATGACAAATACTAATAATTCATGTCTGTGTGCATGTCTGTCTGTCACCAGCTTAAAAAAAAACACTAAAAGTAACAAAGATACTAATTCACTTCTTAAAAACCGAACTGAAGGTGTATTCTAAAAGCAGCAAATCTGTGCATATTCAATCTTAGCAAGTTCAGGCTGCTGCTTACAGATTTATACAAAAAAACCTCATTATGAAGCTACCTAAATATGGATGAAAAACCATTTCACACAGTTGACAGAATGTATGGTCAGTTTCTCTCAGTTAAGCAATGCAAGTAAAAGAGAGATAACAAAGACAGACATTAGGAGCAACGAACCTAGAAATAGTTAATTACTGCCTGCCATTCTAGCAAAATAAAAACACTCCCCCAAAACTTTTCATTCTTTCTTGCCTTTCCTCACGTGGACATGCAGTTTGGGGCATCTGTATAAAACAAGGAGCATTATGTACATTGTTTATTATTTTCCAATTTAAACACTGGAGTTATACAGCTCAAAATTACAATTATAAGAATAGCAGGAAGGAAAAATTGCTGGCACAAACTCCATGGTCTCACCTGCTGCAGGATAATTCCAAGGGAGTTCTTGTCCTTTTGGTTGACACCATCTTTCTGCAAGCGAGCAACTAACTCAGGTTTCTTGTAATTCTTCAGTGCCAGTAAGTGAATCACCCTGTCCCTGTACGGTCGCTGAGAAACAGCGGTTAGTGTGTGAGTCTTCCGTATTGTATTTGCAGGGTTCATGGGAGTTGATCTCTTCCTGACAGGCACAACATCTGGAATGCCTTCTGGTCCTCTTTTAACTGGTAGTCTTCTTCCTAAAGCAAGGGGAAAAAAAAAACCAAAAAAAAAAACCCAACCAAACTCAAAAAACCAAGACAAAGAAGTTGATATTTACCAGATAAACTCTGAAAATTGTATTTAGTTAGCATTTCAGTATCTATTAGAATACAGGCAGTAAAGATGCAATGAGCTAGGCATTAACAAAGAGATATTCAATATTAAAAAAAAGCTAGCAAATGAGCAATTGATTTGTACCTGTAGGAAGACTACTGATTATTTATATGGATGGGGCTTTTATTATTTTTCCAGTTTATAATCTCAAGTACTGAACACCCAAAACCAGGTACTCTTTTCAGATGAGTACCCTAAAGGATGATGCAAAGGTCCTCCATGTAATTAAAAAGATTTCCTATGAATGCCTAGGGAGACCATGTCTACAGAATTAATTGCATCACTGCTTAAAGAAATGATGCGTGGTGTTAATCACTGGAGTTACCATAAGTTACACCACATTTTAAGCTGAAATGTTCCCCTATTATTAAATAAGTTCAGGTCAGTCAGGAACAACACAGCAAAAATTTAACAGTTCTTGGGCCCAGGGCCAGCGAAGCTTTAAAACACGGCCGGCACAGTGCTTTGGATCAAACTCTACAAAAAGACATGTTTCTCAAGAGGGGCACAATTCAAATACTTGCAAGTGATGCCATCCAGAATTTAAAAATAATGCCAGCCAACCTGAATCTCAGTTTTCCAGAAAAAGAAGCAAACTTCATTACTCTGTGTTTTTAAATAAGATTTGCTATCAGACAGAAAAAAGGTTTATCAGAATACTACAGAAAACCTTTGTAGTAAATATTATTTCTAATCCAACAGAGGATGTGACACAAACCAGGTGTTTTTCTGAAACCAGCTCCTCAGATTTGGTATGAGGTAGACTTGTTGAGTATCAGTGAGAAAATCTGGAGCTTGCTCTTTTCTATCAGACACACAGATACTGAGCTGTGCTTATGTACTTACTATGTGTCCCTAGGAATAGCAAAAAATGTTTCCATTTTTGCAGTGCAGACCAAACCTTTATAACCTCTCCACCCGGCATGCTCCCTGGACTCTGCCCCGCTGGTTTTCAGGAACAAACCTCATCACGCAAACACATATGGTTACCTTTTTTAGAACAATATGAACTTGCTAGCTGTTTATTGAATGTATTACAAATGTTTTGACAAATTAAATTCAATGCAGGTTACACAAAACCTTGGCACAGACAATATTGTAAGCAGCATTCAAACAAAACACCTAAAGTCATGTCTCAGATTCACTTAAAAAAAAAAATCAAAACAAAAAAACCAGCTGAAAACATAACCAAGCATTAACGTGATTAACAACCCCAGTTCCTAATTTGTCCTGCATGAAGCATGTGGCAAAGTCATCCTTGTGACCTACCAGCAACTAGACCTGTCCTACCTGAGCTTCCTCAATGCCAGTCTGAAACAAAAGTACCCTAAATACCCTAACTGTCCTACTGCCAGTCTTCAGACCCAATTTATCTTATTCACTTAAGATCTATTTAAGCCACCAACAAGAATCATGCAGATGATTCAAATGTCAAATAGAGCTTCCACAGTGAGATGTTTTGAAATACATGAAAGCAGCACCTCTCACATTGCCATTAAAGAGCAGTTTAGACAACACAGTGGAAGAAGTCCCATCTCCGCATACTGGTGTCAACGCGTGCTGAGCTCCCTGGGTATCAAGGACATACACACTTAGTTTTGTATCTCCAAAAAGCCATGACAGTGCTGGCTAATAAAGCTCTGCAGTATGCTGAGGCAGAGCAAGTGTTGCACCACCAATTGTCACTGATGTCCATGCTGGCAGAGGACCGCAGACATAGCCAGGGAGAGCCTGTGTTACTTAATGAAGACGGATGAACGTGGTTCAGATTGCAGCTGCAGGCAGGACTGGTGCTGCCTATACCACTGACTGCCTGTAAAATGGATGCTTACCTTGTGTCTACCTGCAGGCTCCTCAGGGAAATGTTTTGCAGAAAACAATGAAATCCTTGGGACAATGCCAACATTACCTTAGTTTAACAACAACAAAAACCCCAAACAAACAAACAAAACAACAACCAAAGCAATGGTCTTGTGGTAACAGTTGCTTATTAATCACCAAGACATAAAATAAATAATACTGAATCAGCATTAGAAAGTGTGAAAAGCAAAGTTTTTCATATTAAACTTCTGAATTCATATGAGACTTCCTGAATGTTGGTTGGTCTTTTGGGTTTTTTTTAGATTAGAAATTAAGCTTAATGGTTTAGCACAATACTTGGGTACTCACAAGTGCTATTACAAAAATAAAACAGTGGCTACTAAACTAGAGAATTTAAGTGCATTGGATAGTGAAAAACCCTCACCTCTGTGGTAAAAATTTCAACTAGTCAAGCGGTATGGGGGCAAGGAAGGGGTGGCAGGCCTTCTGAAGGAAAAGAATAAAGGCTGATGTCTGAACACAGCAATAGGACACTGCAAGTCTGCAACATGAGGACAAGCTACCTACATCCAAGATCTCTAAACATACCATCTTTCCCAAGAATACACTGACAAGATGAATTAATGAGTTTGAAAACTTAGTTATCTAGTAAAAAATGAAATACAACCATACCTAAAAATGGTCCACCAGGTTTAATAAACTTTGCACTTCGACTGCGCGCCTCCTCTTCTGCCTGGGCCATGCGCTCTCTGGTCTTCAGATGCGAATCATTTGTTGCACATACTGTAATTTTATTCTGTACAATTCCAAGGCAACTGAGTTGCGAGACTCCAGAACTACAAAAACAATGAAGAAGGTTGATCCCAACCACTAGCTCAGATTTAGAAGCATGGTTGTATCAGGAACTTTAAACCTGCCTTAACAGGCGAAGAAAAACGTTTTCCAGTTCTAACAGGTAGCTAGGGTGTAGATATACTTCAAATTGTCTCTACACACCCTAATTGTTTGTTTTAACTGTCAGCATAATTACAATCTCCTCACATAACTGTACTAGGGCAGGCTCAGGGCTGTGCTGGTGGCTGTACTGGTAATGCCTGCCATGACAACGGCGGCAGCAGCTCAGGCAGTCACACCAGCGCCCTAATGGCAGGCAGGCCCTGCCCCGGAGCCTCTCCACCGGCTGTCTGGCTCTCAGCTCAACATACATCTGTCCTCTACTGAACGTGGTGGTGATGGTCCCAGGCCCTGCAAGGCCCAGGGAGGGGAAGCCAGCCTGTCCTTGAGACCTGTGCCCACATCTCCCCTCATCTTGCTGACAAAGATGTCTGCCCTCTTCATCACCCACTCTGTGCGTTTGACAGTGCTGAGGTGTGCCTATGCTCCACCCACCCGCTCCTCTGAGCATTCACATTTGAGAAGAGGCACCAAGAGCAAACCCTGTGCGAGGGGAAGGATGGTGACGTCTCCTCAATGGCTTCAGGGCAGGTGCTGGGCTCCAGGAGGTGTTTCTGGAGGAGCCTGGACCACCGTGATCAGCCCAAGTGTACACCCGCAGTTTTCTTTAAACTGGTCTAATTAACACCGCTCTTAACAAGGATGCTGTGCAGCACCTGCCACTGAACAGCTCTGACTAGGGAAAGGACACCAGCTTTAGCTAATCTGGAACACTTTAACCAGCCTAAAACTCTCCACCAAGGCTTCAAGGGTCAAGAATCTCATGTCTCAACTTACATTATTTCTGAAAGTCACAAAGCTGGACCAAGCCAATGGCCAGTATTTCAGCTAGTTTTGTCCATAGCCTAGAGCTATGTATTCCTTGCTCCGAAATCACCACATGAACAACAATAAAAAAGGTCCTTCTTGCCATAGAAAGCACAGCTTTTACCAGTTGCCCACTTCCTTGAACATCCCTGACTTTCTTACTGGTTTTTACAACCAGAACGGCTGAGCATGGACTGAGACATGCAACCCTTCTCCCTGGGCTGCGCATTTTCAAAATCCAAGCCAGTGTTGGAAGGCAGAGCTGCCCTGAGGACAAAATTAGACTACACACCCTGCAGAGGACCTTTCTGGGTTGGTTTATTTTTTTTGTTTGTTTGTTTTTTAAAACAACTCTGCATGTAACACTACTCAAGTTTTGCATTAACTTTGCAGTCACTTTGCACAAACTGAGAGCTGGCTACAAAAGACCTCGTAGTCAAACCACATTTGACTACCATAAACTACCAGAGTCAATCAACATTTGACTGCCACATTTGACAAACCACAAAACTAGCTAGACATGCTATTCAGAATGATTCAGAGCTAAAGCAGATTAAATTTAATCTTAAAAAGTACAATTTCATTCAACTGAAGGTGTTCCTTCCTGAAGAAGAAGGTGCCCTTAGGGATGCTTGGGAGAGTAGGCAGGACCTCTCACCCCTAGCATGCACTCTGTGCCGGCCTTGGAAGCTGTCTCGCTCCTTTCAGATAGAATAAAAGCCCAAAAGAAAATCCCCAAAAAACCCACACTGCCCAAGCTCCCCCAGGTCTGCCACTAAACCATTCGGCTTTTTGCCAATCTCATCAGTTAAGTGAGTTCACTGAAAGACTGTACTGTAGTAGAAGAGACCTAAAGCAAAGGGGAAAAAAAAAAAAAAAGGAGGATGAGGATGCTGAGAGATCTCCTGTTAGGCAAAGAGCTAGTAAATCAGCTCGTTTTCTCATTGCTCCCAAAACCTGCTATCTATACAAATCTCTGCTTTGAAATCAAGGCCAGAAGCTCTCCTGTAACCAAGAACCTGAGCAGTACCTTTTGGAGACCTCTGTTAATGTGCCTGTTTGCTATCAGCTTCCCAAATTGATAAATGAACTCTGCCTACAATGTGCTAATGAATGAAATGGAACTAACAGTTATTCAGTGCCACCATTACGACACTAAACATAGTATTCTAGAAGCTGAAGCAAATGGTGTTTTCTTGCCATTTTAGTAGATGTTAACACTGTTCACTTTGACTCAAAGGACCAGGACAAGGCGCTGCTGTATTACATTGGGTTCTGAAACACCATGGTCATACAGTTATGGGTAAGGTCACTGATTTATGTGGTTCTTAAAATAAGACAACTATCCATCATGGCCAGCATACTAGCATGCTGTCAGCCATAATCATATTTACATATGGTTGTAGAATGGATCTGGTCTAGCCTGGACGATGTTGAGCTCCAAATGCTTTCAAAAAACAGTACTAGGAGGTGAGAAAGTACTCAGAAAGTTACTTTTTAAAGAGCAAAACCAAAAAGAATTCTACATAAAAGCAAGTATTTACGATTAGCAAGAAATCATGCTATTGCTAGGAATTAATTTTCTACTGCAGCTCATCAGCAGAGCATGCTTCTGTTAAAGGTTTTTGCTACATGCTCAAAGCCTAAGAATCTACTTAAATTTGCCATGAAAAAAAACATTAAGTAAAACTTACCCTGAGTCCTTTTGCTGGAACAGGTCAAAGCTTCCCTGAGGATTATCTTTGCCAATATTTGACACTAAGAAGTTAAATGTATTCACTTCATTTGGCTGATCAACTTTGGGAATTTTAATAAGCTAAAAGGAAAAAAAAAAAAAGTTTACATAAAAACTTCAGTCTACACTCCTTTGCTTGAGATTATGGGACCATAATTTTAAATGAGAAACTGTGATTCAAAAGTTTTCTTATGATTTCAGTCACACTACTAAAAATGCTGCTTTGGCAGAATTCTCCCCCTGGAACCAGCACTGGCTGTGCATCTGCCACAGGAGTAACTGCACTGGAAAAGGCTACCATTGCTGAGCCTCTCAACTCAGCAAAGCCATCCTTCCCCATTTAGTGGAATTAATACACACATGCTTAGCTTTAAATGCAAGCACCTAAGTACAATTAAATGGTCTGAAGCTCAGTTAACGGAACAGACAAGTGCAATTCACACAAACCATATTGGACACTGCCCCAGCTTTGTGATTTATTTGGTCCCAATGAAGCAAATGTGGGAATTAGCTCCAAGAAGGGAAAAAAGCCCCAGCAACACCCAAATTACAAGAGTAAAACTTCTTAAAAGTATAAAGGATGACTTTCAACTTCAACAGGCATTACAGCCTTTTTCTTCTACTCAACTCTAGATTAAATTATTTGCATAAATGTAAATGTGAATATTTTTGTAAGTTTAGTCAGCTGTAGTAACACTGGATTTCCTTGGCTGAACTAATGACTTAGTACAGAATATGCTGCATTCTGCTGGAACTTAAAAATGTAAATATGAGAAATTATTAAATTGATAATTGGCATAAGCACATTTTTTAATCTGCTGCCATACACAAAAAACCTACTGCAATCCAACTACTTTATTCTAAAGGTAAAACTAGCTGGCAATAAATCTAAACAAAGCTAGTCTTCTGAAATTTGCTTGAATTTTTAATGGAATATTAAATAAGATGAACAAAGATATATAAAAGCAGTATTTAACAGTCTTTCAGAAATCTTTTAATATTTTGCGTGCGAGATTGGCTTCATAAACTTCAACGTAATTTGCACAAAGTCCTACTATAACACAATTCCATTACCATTTATATTTTAATCATCAGTACTGGCAAAGCTTGCAACGGCTTGTGACAGCGACTGGACTGATTTAATGTTTCAGCATAGTGGTTTTACTGTAAATACTGCAGGTACGCATATATGAATTTGACAATTTGAAATCAACCCATTGTAGCCTGATATACTTTCTGGAAAAACAACAACTATCTATTATGATAAAGCCAAGGCTGGCCCTCAAGAAATATAGCTGAGCAGACAGAAGCAGGTAACTGTTGCTGTGTATGCTGGAACTTCATTCTCAAAATTTTGAATAAATTTTTATTTTCCATTGATCAGCCTAAAGAATGCATATGTACAGATACTGAAAAAGATATTGATAAAGTATGAGAAAAACAAGTCTGCCTCCTAACTGGTAGATGGCTATGAAGCTTATCACCAACAACAACCTCCCAGGAGCAAACTCAAATGGAAACACTGAATGTTTTAAAGATTCCCTCACACACAGAGGCTGAAGATGATGAGGGAGCCAGCTACTACTACCATTGTGACAGCTGTCTTTGAAGAAGCAAAGAAAAGGTCTAGAAATTTACTTTCATTCTCAAATTTTTAGGATATATTTTTCTCAAAATTTTGTAAGAACTAGATGACCATTGCTCAGGCCTTTTCTAAAGGAAATCCCATAAGGAAGGAAGGACCAAGATGGTACAGCATTCTCTTTAAATTTAAAAAAAAAAAAAAAAAAAATCTTAGCATAGGATACATAAACAAAAGCTGGAAGAACAGACATTTTGCAGAGGTTAAGTCTTAAAGTTTTTGGTTTTGAAATTTGAGACTTTAGGATAAAATGATAAAGTCTTCTTACTTCAAGCTGTTTGGAAACAAAAGAATGCAGAGAGCACTTCTAAACCTTCCCAAATGAAAATAACTGACACAGGACAATAAGACACCAAGCCCATTTCAGAATCATAGAATCACAGAATGGTGCCCTTTTAACTGACACAAAAAATACGAATAAAAAAAATTCAAGACTTAAAACAAACACAGATGAACTCTGGCAAGCTACAATCAAATGCCTGTACAACCTGGGGAAAGCCAGGCAGATGAGGGCATTGCCAAAAGCATTGTTTGTGGCACACAGGGGTACCCCATTTCTGCCTCCCACCTTTCACCCCATGGCAGGGGGAGTTTTCCCAGTGCTGCAGACCCTTCAGCATTATCGGTCTGATGTGCACAGGAGCGGCATGTTGTGCCCTGACCTGGCCCCAGTGTCACATCTGGCTAGGCTGGAGCACTTTGGAACAAGTATTGAGCAACTGGAGCCTCTGCTGTCTACTTTAAAATGATAGTTTAAATTCTGTGTACTCAAACTGGCTTGCAATTTCTTACCATCTGATGGATTCAGTAATAGAGAATTTCCACTAGAATAATTCAGACCTTTGACTTTAATCCCTTCCTCTTAGTAACTGACTTCTGGATCTATCATATTACCCTATCTCACTCTGACATACCATCCTTGTTCCTACTCTCTAATGCAGGAACAGTTTCAATAATTTTCTCCGAAAGCCCCTGTGCAGAATCACTCCAGTTTCTCTGGCTCTTAGCTTTTTGTCACTTCTGTCCTCCTCTTTTCCATCATTCCTGAAAAAAATGCGATTACAGTATACTCATTGCAGGCCAGACGTATTTTGCTTGGAGCAAGCCCAAGTGATACAGAATGGTTCAGGTTGGAAAGAACCTTATGATCATCCAGTTCCAACCCCCTGCCATGGGCAGGGACATGTCACACTAAACTATGTTGCCCGAGGTCTCATCTAACCTGGCCTTGAACACTGCCAGGGATGGAGCGTTTACCACTTCTTTGCACAACCTGTTCCAGTGCCTCACCACTCTCATTAACCCTTGTCCTGTCGCTACAGTCCGTGATGAAGAGTCCCTCTCCAGCATCCTTGTAGGTCCCCTTCAGGTAGTGGAAGGCAGCTATGAGGTCTCCACACAGCTTCTCTTCACCAGGCTGAAAAGCCCCAAGTTTTCTTACTCTGTCTTTGTATGGGAGGTGATCCAGCCCCCTAGTGGCCTCCTCTGGACTTGCTCCTTAAGTTGAGGACACCAGAACTGCACACAGTGCTCCACGTGGGGTCTCATAAAAACAGAGTAGAGTCACCTAATCTCTTTCTGAACATATCTACCTTCTCTCTGCTTTTGTTCTTCTATGGTACTACATCATCTTATCAGGCTGACATGAACACCGTATTTTTATGAGGTCTCCACACAGCTTCTCTTCACCAGGCTGAAAAGCCCCAAGTTTTCTTACTCTGTCTTTGTATGGGAGGTGATCCAGCCCCCTAGTGGCCTCCTCTGGACTTGCTCCTTAAGTTGAGGACACCAGAACTGCACACAGTGCTCCACGTGGGGTCTCATAAAAACAGAGTAGAGTCACCTAATCTCTTTCTGAACATATCTACCTTCTCTCTGCTTTTGTTCTTCTATGGTACTACATCATCTTATCAGGCTGACATGAACACCGTATTTTCAGGTGCCTCTTTTCAGCATATGTGTTCAAGTCCTCTCTCTCTCTCAATCTCTTCTTTGCCTCTTCTCAGAAACATTTCAACTTTACCATCTCACCTTTTAAGGATAAGATATGGTAGCTCACAAGCCACACCCACACCAGCACCCACCACATGCTGTAAGCCTCTACACAGGGTTAAAGGAAGTAAAAATTACTATTTGCAGGGCCCTCCAAATTAGGAATGTCCATTGCTGCAGGAGATCAAGGACATCACCAGCTGCAGGTATGGTGCATGCCTTGTAATTATCTAATAAATTTATTTGGAAGTTGCAGGACATAGCAGAGAAAGTTAAAAATAAAGGAGGGAAGCCACATCAGGGAAATAGCAGTTGTCTGAAACATTATCACTACAGAAGTACATGGGACTATAAACAGAGTATTTTTTTTTTTTCATTTAAATGTATCCCTACTGCATTAAAAGTTAATTGCCGATACTCACATTCCCCAGGGCTATTTTATCTAGCACAGCATAGCTGCTACATTCTCCAGGCAGCTTAGGTGTATGTACTCCAAAATGTTTAATTACAAGGTATTTCTTAAAAATTATGATGTAACGATCCATTTCTTGCAGTCCCTCTGTGTCCTTCAGCTATTTCAGCCATCAGCACACATTATCATCCAGACCGCTAGGGAGTAAGATGTTCCTAAACAAAGTAAAAGTTCTCCCTCCCAAGGACTGATCTGTGATCTGGTGCAAAAGTTTATTTTAACAATCACCAGTTATTTTATTAATTCACAGATCACAGGGTTCTTATCTATGTTTTGTGCAAACTATTCCATTCTTGAACTGAAGAGCATCTACAGGCTATCTATGCAGTATGGACAAATGATTTATTATCCTAAAGAATGCAAACCATCTTATTGCATTAGCAGATTTGCTATTGTGCCTTCAGAGACCATCTATATACTTCCATCAAGCTCTAGATCCCTTCAGAGCAACTCTACCACGCAACAGAAAAAAATTAAGCTTGCTAGGGTTTTGGTTTGGGTTTTTTTTTTCCTGGCAACATGACTGCAGAACCCCTCTGACACGAATATTGGCTTCTTGTTAAACATATACATAAAATAAAAGCTCCTCCCTTGCCTCTTCTCATGTAAGCCTCCTTTCCTCAATTCCCACATCTAACACAACTCTAGACCACCCCAGGCCAGCAGGGACCTGTATTTCTCCACTCCAGCTTTTACCATCATCCATGGAGGACTGGCACTAGAATGTGTAACTAGAGATGGAATATTAAAAAAAAAAAAAAAAAGTCTTTTTTAATATTAGTATTTTATCCTCATCTGGAAGTTAAGACAGTTGCATGGATTGCAGAGGAAATACTCTCAAGAGACAAAAAAATCACTGTCTGTTTTTAGCAGCATTTAAAGAAACTCTTTGCCATCATAGGTGACCTGCAACACCTTGGCATGAATGCACACTGAAGACTCTTCACTCTGGAAACCTGCAAGTGGAAACCAGTCCAGAAGAGGAAGGCAGACCTTTCAAAGGGCCAGGCCAGTCCTCTGTCATGCAACTTGCGTACTCTGGAAATACTAAGGACATGGCTGCACAATACACAGAGATAATGAGCTAACCATTTCCCTCCTGCTGTACATACAGTCGTAAAATGTCCTGTTTTAACTTACCCTTTGCCCTAATATCCTTAAATTTCTCTCCTTATTGCTGAGACTTAGGGTCTAGGAATCTCATGTAATAACTTCCTTAGTTTGTATTTCTTCAAATATGGATAGATTTGAAATGCACTTCTGGTCTAGTGTGAGGTATCCCTGCCCAAGGCAAGGGGCTTGGAACTAGGTGATCTTAAGGTCCTTTCCAACTCTAACGATTCTACGATTCTATAAGAACTTATTACTTCTGCAGCAAGCAGCAAAGTCCCTGCAGATGTTTCCCTCTTAAAGAGCAACGGAGCAAACCTTACTGCTGAGTTACATGATGAAATAGCACAGATCTGGATTAACTTTTTAGTAGAAATGAGGGTGACATCACTGTAAGATAACAGTTGGTTCTTCAGCAGTCTTGTGGCCCCCAGATTTTGACACTTTTTGATAAAAAAACCCAGATTTTTACAGCTGAGAAACAAAGCCTCCCCCAGGCTAGTAACATCTCAAAGTTCACATACTACCGCCTTGAAGCTGCTACCAGAGAACATAGAAGAAAGCAGCACATGAACTTTTGCACAGACAGAGTGGGTGCAGGGCAGGTAAAGCATACTGGTAATTTTTCCTTCACTTGCAGGACATCATGCTAACAGGTAGGTTAATTATTTCTACTCTGAGAGCTTATTTTGAACTCATCTCCTGCTCCATCCCTTGCAACCCTCAGGCACCTGCTGCCCCAGGCAGCGGCTCAGGAAGCTGACCAGTGGAGCCAGACAGTCCATTTCACTGGATTACTTCCCAGACAAATCAAGTACATCACAGATATCCTCCTGATGGCAGCATGAATTCAGATCAATCTGTGCTCCCATCCACTCTCTTCTGGTACTGCTGTTTTGGCTGACTCTCTTAACTAAGACGATTATCCACTCTAGCAAAGAAATTCTTTTACTAGTATAAATATTTGCCAGTATAGTTTAAATTGCAAATAAGCTACAATGAGAAAAGATCTTCTTACAAGTGCAGTGTTAAGAGACTTTTGTCTGCACAAGTAGCTTTGTTATAGATACGATTCTCCCAACATCTGAATACCCTTCAGCCAGATTGAACTGGACTAGGGCTGTAGTTTCACACCTGTGGGCAGTCCTTAAAAATGAGTCTTTGAATATCCCTTAAAATTTAAATATTAACCCCAAAATCTTAAATCATTCCACTTGGAAAGCAGTCTGTACTTAATTTTACCTTCAGCTTTAGTTCTCCAATTTGCACCACTGCAAAAATGATTGTTTAACAGGACCTGTGGGCTTTAGGAAGCTCCATTTCCTCATGTTTCCCTTCAACTTTTCAACAGGCTTGAAATACTGTTTTATTAGTTTTAGGCTAGGGTCAGAACAATTGGGGTGTGTGATATACAAACCACCCCTCAGAACTGCAGTTCTGCTTTACACCCTGAAACCAATCACTGAAAGTCGATTTCAAAATACTAAGTTTGCACTGCTTAGTTGATGACTTACAAGGTATTCCTATTGCTTTCAAATTTCGGTTAAAAAGTGACAAAAGCAAGATAAAAAGGCCTATCTAAAACATGATTCTCTTTCACTTTCAACTACAACTCCTAAGTAAGCATGCAATGAAAAACATCTGGCATTTAGCAGATTTTACAATGTCGATAATAAAAAAGTGGAACTGGTTAATCTACACTGCATTTATTTTCCAATATAGTAAGAGTACAAAATACTTACCCCTTGGGATCCTTGAAACTGAATTGAAGGCTGAGAAGAAACACGATCCTATGAGAGGAAAAATAAGTAGAATGTAAGCAAATTGACAAACCTCCACACTCCAGCAGAAGGTACTTTGCCTGGAGAGAGAGAAGGTGGATTGGCCTGTAGCAAACTTCTCATGCTAGCACCATGATGCAGATCCCAGGGGCCACGGCTGCAGCAGCAGCTCCAGGCAGCATGCAGGGCTTCCTCCATTTGGTGCTGAGGAGCACAAGAGCTGGTACTTTATCATCACCGGGGCACCATGCGGAGTCCAAGAAAATGCTGTACAATGTTATCTGCTGGCACTGAAGGGAAAAAACACCCCTCCTCTGCCTGAACTACCACTAATGTGGGAGTCCAAAATTATGTGCTTTCCCACTCTCAAACCCTGCCCTGCTGTCCCAGTTGCTTATGGACTGGGATGGCTTCATTTCTGAAGAGACTATTCGATGACACCATTTTCACATGTACTTGAGTTCTAGGTATCAGCTCAGACTTCGTGAACACAGGCAACCTGTCTACTCGAAAGGTCTTGATAACAATAGCTTTCCTCGTCAGGACAATGCTCAGGCCCCATCACTTCCCACTGTCACGGATGACCTGCTCTTTGCGCAGATCCCCAAGCGTGGACCAGTAATGCCAGGAGCACTTGCAACACTAGAACCCAAGCACCCCACCACCTCCCAGCAGTGCAGTCAGCCCGCCTCTCCACAGGAAGGCAAGGAGTAGTGTCTTCTCTCTCACACTCTTAACTTGCTAATTAACACCACCGAGCACATGTCTAAGTCAAAATTCAAACTGGCTCCCAAAAAATCCTGAGCTCCCCCAAAAAATCCTTACTTCTTCAGCTGCCTATGTGCCACGTGAAATACACACGGCCAAAAATAACAAAAGACAGTTGCACCTTGTCTCTATGATGTCTCTCAGCCTGCTCCTGACCTGCAAGGATGGAAGTGTCCTGTACTACTACTGTGCTGACACCACTGTCTGTGAAGGTGTGCAAATGTTAAAGGGAAAACAAAAATATCAAGGAGCTTGCTAGCTGGAAATTGCTTTTCTCTGTCACAAGCTAGCTTCTGGTCAGGTCTGCTCCTTGATACAGCCCAAACAGCAACACCACCAGTGCCAGCAGGAGCCCGCTGATAAGAATATCCCATTCTAGCAGCAATGCTACCTTTGTTCAGCACTACTGAATCCTGAAATTATGCTGCTAGACACAAACCCATAGGTCAGCTATGCTGATAAGCTCAATTTGCTAGGCTTTGTCCACAGCATGTTACAGGGAGTTTGCCAGCCCACTGCAAACACTTAACCTAAACAAGTTGCACCAAAGGATGAAACTCTAATGAATAAAGACTTCACTCCAGCAAAAGCAAGTGTTTATGGATTTAAAATTTAAATCCATCCAGAAACATTCAGGACTGGAAAGTCAAGTTAGATGCACCTCTTGTCTTCTCTTCCCTCCAGCCACAGATTCCTCCTCCTTCACTTGCACTTCTCTCACCCTTTTGCAATAAAATCTGTCTCACTCATCCAGCAGGAAACTCCCCACACTGATCTTGGCAATGAGCTGATGCTGCTCACACAGGTGCCAGTGAGTGCTGGAGCCGACGGAGCGCAGTCAGCAGGA